GAACATAAAATTCATATCTTCTCGCCACCGGGTAATATCCTCTATATATTCTGAGAATGTGACAGTCTCGTTGCATGTGATTACAAACTCTACGATGTGGTATGTAGAGAGTGCTGTTAAACCGCGCTAATTCGAACTCTGTTATTTCGAATTCCCTGTTATTTCAAACTCAAAACCACTTCCCCTGGATTCGCCCTTCAGTCATTTACTATCGGCTATTTCGAAGTCACGCAATTTCGGACCATGTTTTTGTTTCCCCTGAGAGTTCGAAATAGCGGGATTCAACTGTAAATAGTTTTGCTCTGATTGAGTTATAGTGAGTGTTCAGTTTAGGTTTCTTTTTTGGGGGGGTAAAGAGCTTTTCGCAAATCACGCATTCAGATTTCCCACGACATTTCCAACGAATGGTAAATTGTCCCTGAAGATAACAATTATTTGCTTTCGTGTAAACGCCAAGGAAAGGTGAAGTTTGTATAGTTTTCCTTAATTTTCTTAAGACTATGTAAAACCCAAATTTTCTGGGACATGACCTTTAGGTTGCGCAAGAGTTAGTTTGGGGGGCAAAAACTTGAGCAATATTTTTTTTAACATAGAAAACACTTGTTCGTCTTTTTTTTCCACGATTTTTTTCCAGCAGTTTTTCCTGTGCAGGAATTCTTTTATTGGAAATTTCCCAACTCCCAACCCCTCTCTCAAAAAAGTAATGGTCCTTTTCTAAAGGTTTCTGAAGCGTTGCTTGGCTTTTCAAGGGTTTGTTAACCGTCTGGGAACATAACGTGGATAACACAGAGTAATAATTAGCACACCATCACGAATTTTGGATCGAAATCAAATGGCCCGGTAACTCTCCGGCAATGCTGTTAAAAATTCCTGAATACCTTCAGAGATACTCCTGTTTTGCCTTTTAACACATGCAGCACGCCTGAAATTTTAGTACCGTTCTCTGACACGTTTTGTTTGTTCGGTCTGACTAATTTTGGAAAAACCCATTCCATTTAAGGGACTCTGATCTGAGTAATCTGGCGACTGGTAGGCACCTCAGTGAATACAGTGTTCTACCAGTGTGGTACAGAAAAATCTTGCGATCAACATGTTGTGTTTTTCTTTACTCAGATGTTTCACTCACTGTTGGATCTACCTTGCTTAGCTGCGGCTTTGTGTACATCTTGGGCCACTAAAGGTATAGTATTATAGTCTGCTGTCAATTTAATACACACAGTCACTCTAGTTAAGTAACGATTGACAAATTTGAGTAATATTTTTGAAAATAAAATAGACTAGTTTACCAATAAGTCGACGTCACTAATAAGCATTAAAAGAGATTTCAGTGCTTGCCACGTGTTGTAACCGGTTTTCTTTATGTTAACAACTTACACGGCCTTCACGGTGCAACTCGCCGGTAGCCATCAGGAGAGGGGCATTGTGAGAGCTAAGTATCTTGCACAAGAGAACACAACACGTAGTGATCCCTGTCAGCGTTTGAGCGCAGTAACCATATTCCATAACGGAGTATGGAGAAAGCAACTTAAGTTTAGAGGACCTTAGAGCCATGAGTTTGAGATTAATTATTCAGATTATTCCTATTTTTCTCCGTGTGTTTTGTTACGGCAGCAAGGGCCGGCAGTAGTGACAAGATGGTTTTCGTTCAGTCATCTGTTGATTATTTTCTGGACCCAGAATACAAGCCTCTCTTTAGCTACATTATGAGATTACAAGCTGGACAGGGAGACACCATAGACAAGTACGTTTTATCAATTATTAAATGTCATAAGAGTGTTTTCCAATTGAGTGTTTAAACTAATCCAGAGCTGCTTTGGTTTGCGTTGCTATTATTACTCTTCTCTTTGCGTTTGAGGAAACTTGCGCCAAATACTCAACCAATCAGATGCAACGTCAAAACCAATAGTGACTTGCGCTAAGATCGTTTTGCCGCGCTTTGCGCCTGTCTCCTGCAAGATGAGTTTTGAATCCATGTGCTCCTGTGGTTGTCTATGGTAAGCAACGTGACGTGAGAAGTTTCATCCTGCACATGAGAGTTAGTGCTATCTTTGAATGATATCAGTAACCGGGAACCATTTAGTGCCTCACACACCAAAAAGAAACGACATTCAAACTTAGCCACTTGGCTGTGAAGCGAAAGAAAGAAACCAGTCATCGCTCCATCTAGTACTAAAGAACTTTAAGGTCTTTAAGCTTACCTTCCAATTTTCCTTTGCGTTGCAGACTCAAAACACTTCATTCTTTGTTAGAGGACAGACTCGATCAACCTCGCGTTGTTGTATCTGCACAAATAGCTCCAGTTCTATTGAAGTAAGAAATGGTGAATAAGCTTAAAAATAAAATTTCCTTCTTTCTTTCGTGAGTCTAAAGGTCTCTCGGCTCGCAACCCTCTTTGTAAAGTAACGTATATGTTTTGTTACTCGTCCTTAGCGCGATGTTTTCCACCATCCTGGAAGAAGCAGATGAGGAAACAGCCAGTCGCATGGTGCCTGTTATACTTGAAAGAGTCGGTCTCCTGTATCCTGTGCAAGACTACCGTAAAGAGATTCACGAGTATGGCATTCTTATTTCTACACAGAGAGAAACTTACCTTGTATAAATTTTGCGCATGGAAGGGGTAGGAGCACCAATGTGCCTGGCGGATGCAGCGTGGCTGAGTGGTTTGGGTGGCCGAGTGGTTAGGGTGGCCGAGTGGTTTGGGTGCCGGACTTGAAATCCGGAGGTCGCGGGTTCAAGTTCCGCTCTGACCACTAAGCTGGAGTTGTTTCTCGGCAGACCCTAGTTCAACTGGGATTTTTAAGCCTATTATGTTTAGTTGATATATTTGTTTCTTTCAGTTCAAGTGGCATGCGTGAGAACTAGCTAAGTGTAGCTAAGCGCATTGACCACGATAAACAACAACATTTGAACATTTTTTTGAACATTTTGACTTGTTTACAAAGCGTGATCTTGACAAACAGTTTTGTAAAGTTCTGAGTCAGTCACATCAGTAATGTTATATTTCTAGGTTGCTGTCAGAACGGCTTGTACAGTTGTGTCAGAAATATCCAAACCTGATAGTCAGGTATCAACAGGATATCATGGAGTTTGTTAGCGGACTGAAAAATCTTGGACCAGCCAAAGAGAATTTCTTCGTTCACTTGGTTAGTTATGTAAACAACAATTGCGTATTTGGGTTTTTAATACACTTCCGTCTCGGAAAACAAAGGAGTGTTATTTTTTTTCACGAGAAACGAAGTTGATCCTTGATTCTTGAAAAAACTGTAGCTTTTTTGGAACCATTTCTGTGCACATGCTTCGTACTTTCAGTTCCTTTGCTAGCGCAGTTCACCATTATTAAGGCAGTGTTCACACTATGCCGAAGAACTTTGAAAACGCAGCTATGTTTCTACGGTTAGGTCCTCCGTCCACACGAACCTGTCACGAAAATGGAGCTTTTCGAAAACCCTCTTCTAACCGGAGGAATTTGAAAACGCCGGCTTTACGTTTTCGTGTAGCAAGAAAACATCTTGAAAACAGAGTTTTTTGTAAACGATGGTGTCACGATAACCAT